ATATGAATATGCTTAAGTCACAAACCCATTTTATACACATTACACAAATAAACATAAAGTGAGAATTCCATTAAGTCATTTACAAATGTGAACAAATGCACATGGCAAAAAAAAAAAAACAAAAACCAAAAAAACAACCCAAAACAAACAAAACCAAACCTCTTTTACATAAAATGTACTGAAGAATTAAAGGCTATTCAGGTTTTCAATGTTATAAAATTATTATGTCTTTTTTTTTTTCAGGCACATATTGTATTTTTTGTCTGCAGTCATGAGCCTGAATCAGAGGCCCATAAAACAAACCCAAAACAAAAACACATATTCTGTAAGGAGGTAACAGGGATCCATCTCCTTTTAGTCAACTGAGTGCATTTAAGATTTAACTTACACACTAAAACTAATTACATGATCTCAGCAAGAGTGACCTGAAAAGTTAAAAGATGAAGATGTCCAAAGTGTTTCTTGTACTTTGACTTATCCAGCCTCAATCTTTTTTTTTAGGGGGGGGCTAAACATCTCGTTATGAAAGATAAGAGGGGAAAAGAGATCATCCTGAGAAAAGTACAAAACTGGACTCTATTATACACATCTGCTGTGTTACTGGGCAGGTGTAGCAGTTATGGGTCAAGGAAAAGGGAGACAAAAGGTTCCTCAGTATGACTGAGTGAGCCAGGAATACTCCAAGGGAATTGCTCCAGGGAGCAAGTGTGCCCTGGGGCTTGAGTGGAAAAATAAATAGCTATGGATGAGTCTGTCAAATGTTGTATCTGCCTTGGACTGGCCAGTTACTCACATTCAACACTAATGTACACCCTTCATTATTCCCAAGAGCCTCTCGCAGGTGGAGGTTTAACGGAAGGAGCTACTGCCAAACCTCCTGAGCTGTAGCTGTGGTGGAAAGGGAGAGTGAGGAACAGGCAATTGGATCTGCAATTCCTTCAGGATAGTGGTGCAGTACCTAAAAGTCAGTTTGGGATTCAAGTAAGTCAAACTACGTTTGTTAGTAGCCATATTTAACAGCCCCAAAAGGTACCATTATGCTTATTTTCATGAGCCAGAGGTGTGGTTTATCACAAATATTGACTAGTACAGCTGAAGTGTTTGGCAATAACTGAAGATCTATGCTCTGCTTGTGGGTCAAAAGTGTCTTTGCCCTACCTCAGTCTCATTGAGTTCAACAGGATTACTTGTCTTACAGAGGTAAGTGAGATTTAGACCTTGGAGGAATAACAAAAATAATATTTTAGAGAAAGGGAACTTGAATTATCACAATATTTACCACACAGTGTCACAATATTTCTCTATATAAAAAGTTCATCTTAGTTTTCATCAAATACCTTAAAAATTGAGATAAAATTGTATTCACAACTATATAATTCCTCTGACACCTTTTGGTTTTGCTGATATTTGTTTCTTTCTAAATTTTTTCCTTAAAATCTTGCTCCTCTTCCCTTTAGCTGCAGTGTACAGCATGGCCCCCGTTCACAGAAGGTATCAAATACAGACACGTTAGTCAGAGGAGCTAAATTTTTTTTCTGGGAGAAAACCAAAACAACCCTGTGTTTTGAATCATGCTGGCCAGAGTTTCTCTAACAGCACCTTCATCCACACTCAGCATTTCAATGCTTAAAAACACAGTCGATTTACCCTAGCTAGTCTCAGTTTTCCATTTTCATCTCGTGTGATGCACCTGACTTTCAGCATGCACAACTTTGTAAACAAAATCTTCTGTCTAAACAAAGAATCTTCACAGATACCGAAATATTATTAGAGGAGATCAATGAAGTCAATGTTTGTCCACTGAAGCTCTGCAGTTCACGGATCTCTCGTGCTGCAGGAAGAGAATGTCACGTGAATATTTCCATTTTCGTGTCCCAGACAAATCCGTTGCTGGTTTGCAATGTGTCAGAATGGCAAACAGTAGGTTACTCTTCAGCAGGCTGATCACTAGCAAAGTCACTTTGCCAGGCACGGAGCTCTGTTGTGAATGGAGGCCTGTAGATTCAACTTATCCAATAAACCAAAGGCATTACGGTGATAACTAAATATTTTTGGTCTCTCTACAAATTGTCATTATTATGGCAGCACTTTTCTAAGCTGGAATTTCAAACCAAAGGCACTTTCATGCTAGAGTGCAGAAGAGTCACAATTAATTATTTGGTCATGAAATTTAAAAAGGCAGCATTTATTAATACAATTCACTTTTCACGGAGAGCTAAGGATCTGTAACCTTCCTTTTGGTATAGGCATCTAACTGTGTAATGGGACTGACTTGTACCGACAGTTGGTTTAGACCAAGCAGTCAAAGAGCATTTCTCTGGGGGGAAAAAAAGCCAAACAAAAACCCACAGATATTTTCAAACTGGAACCAATTAATAAAACAATATATAAAATTTACATTAAGAGGCTAAAGGTACTTCTAATATAATGCTAAGGCACTGCATATTGTAATGCTTTGGCAGCTCTCAATTAAAAGGTTCCTACAAAAAAGTAACAGTAACAAGATAAGTACTTCCAGCTTACAAAAGAGCTCACAGTTTACAGGCAGCCTGTTGGACTACACACCCCACACTCAACAGTTGAAGGATTAAGGCTTTTAAGAATGAACATATACAGGGTATGGATCATTTACAGAAGTGTAAAGAAAAGACGACGGAAGTAGTTTTTCCCTAACATTACATATGTGAACACCAATAAACATTGTGACTGTTTATACCCTACAGTTATGGCATATATAGTGTGCCAGATTCTATTAAAAAAATAAACCCAAACAAAACTGTACCTGGTTTTGCAAATTGACTTTACATACTTTATAGGCCTTAAAGAGTTTGCTTGTTATTAAACAAAATAAAAAATTAAAAGTCACCAAACCCACAATTCAAACCCTAAATAAAAGACAACTTTAGAACAAAACAAAACAAACAAAAAAAAAGTAGTTTTTGACTTGTAACACCAAGTGCTTAGAATAAAGGGCTACCATTAGGCTGTTACAATGCAGTGCTTTTCCTGATGTGTTGTTAGTGTTAAACATGAGCGTTAAAAGAGACCTTACCATGGACATGTTTCTCTGCTCAGCTGGCAGAATAGAAACTGAAAGAGGCATCAGCCCTAATATCCATGAGCTAGACATCACAGCAATCATCCCCTCACGGGCAGAGCAGGGACAGGCTGAGGAATCACAAGTCGCCTTCCCTCGGTGGTGTGAAGTGTCAGGGTGGTCTGACACAACCTGCTTGCTCACCTTGCCTGGGTTCTGCTCTGCTCTGGGTAACTCAACAATGGGTGATTCCAACAGAAAGTCCTCTGCAGGAATAGAACTTAAGAACAAAATAGGACTTGCTTTTTTCTGAAGACTACAGCACTGTAGAACTTGTGCACGGGCACGTGTCGCTAAAGGGTAGGGAGGAGGGACCTGCTAAACGTTAACTTTGATTCAGGACCGCGAAAGACCTTCCCAAGAACCCTCTTTGCTGATACCTCATGACTGATCTTTAAGGTGGCTTGTGCTTGGTGGGGCAGCCCTCAGCCTTTCAGACAAGTGTTCCACACGAGCCTCACTGCAACTGCCCAAACAAAACAACTGCTGCTGGGGCAACTTTGCAGGAGCAAAGAAACAGAGCAACACTGTCTGCTGCACCCAGGAGGAACGAGGTTACGCTCACCTGTCACACCCCAGACAGTCACCTGTGGGTCGAATCCTTACAGTATTAAACATCTCCAGCTGCACTTCACTTCCTGGAGTCTTCCCTGAATATATCAGAAGGCTGAATCCCACCACAGGTGTTTGCAGAGGGACACAGACCCCACGTGGGACGTACGTGTTCGTCCGGGTAAGGTCTGGGCCAGACAACTGGGAGAGGTGTAAGAGCACCATGATTTAAGGGGGGGAAAAAAATAATCTCCACTTTCCAATCTTCTTTGCCTGATGTGGGTTGTGATTTTCTAGCATCCCCTGGATATTAAAGCTGTTGCTCCTTTCAGAGTTGTACATACAACACCTTAGTGTTTACTTCCTGTTGCGAATGACTCGGAGCTGTCGCAGTGTCAGTTGTTTCTGTTCACCTGTTCGTTTCAGAGCTGCAAGTTTTTTGCTCAACTTATTAGAAAACATAGTTGTCCATATAAAATATAACTGCACACACAAGACTACATATAATGCAAGTCTAAATCTTCAGTATTTTCCTACTTATTGCAAAATGAGCCATCTTTTTTCATTAAATAATCAAATTTTCATATTAGTACAATACAACTTTATACTCTTTTAAAATACACTAGATATGTTAGGGGTAAGGGGTGATGTTTTCTTTCTCTGCAATACCTGTTTGAAAGTTTAATGGATTAGAAGATTAGTTTTAGCGTTGAGAAAAAAATACAAAATTTGCCTAATTTTAGGACCTGTCTGTTTCTATCAGGCATTTCTTAAGGCTATATTTTTTTCATTTGGTTTCAAACAGAAAAATGTTTCATTTTAAAAAATAATTTAGTGAATTACATTCGTCCATATCTTCCACCCTAATTAGTTACAAAGATAATTCTATAAAGATTATTAACTTTGTGTACTCATTTACAGTTATAGCTAAAGATTCATTTCAGTTTCACTTGCATTGTAAAACAATTATTTCCTGTTGGAAAAAAACCCAAAATAAATTCTTAGAAACGCTGTCAGTTTTTCCCCATGGCAAATGCTCTGTCATACATTTTTCTATCAGAATTAAAAATAGGCCTCGACAGACAGAGGCATTAGGTTCTTAAATACAGTCTTCCCAAAGAACTGTGTTTACAAATTTGAAGAACACTTAAGTTTTAGAAATAATTTTTACAACTGTACCAGAATTTCACAGCTACAATTATATATGAACACATTAAAAATGACTTCACTAAAACAGGATTTAGAAAAAATGTGGGTGAAAGTTGGGCCAGAGGCACTGCCACTTAGTGTTGAGGTTTAGAGTCTGTGTTTTGATAAAGAAGTGAAATGAAGTGTATATATAAATAACTGCTCAGTCCTTTACAAGCCTGTAGATGTGATGCTGTGCTCCGTGTTCGCTGTTTGACACTTCAAATACACAAGCCATGCAGAGCAGGGTTTATGTTCACTGTTTGACACTTCGAATACACAAGCCATGCAGAGCAGGGTTTCTTGTGTATCCCTGTTTGTTACCACCTGTTGGGGCAAGAGAGAGGGAGACAGGATGTTACACACTTGGGAACACCAGAGCTGAAACAAGAAGTGACCACAGCACCTTGTGTTTGCTCATCAAAGGGAGCTGGGCATGGAGCTCATGGCTCCACCTCTGCCCTGTGCCACCAGGTCCTGCCAAATCCACAGCTCTGAGAGCTTGGCCGAGGTGCCGCCGTCAAGCTGCAGTGAAAGCAAGCTGGGCAGCTGGATCAAACTGGCAATTCCTTGTGCTTTGCATCACCTGTTGGGCCTTTACTGCCCATTTTCCCTGCCCAAGAACTAATTAACACCACTGACATTTGCAGTATTCTAACCGACGTGTCGGTAAGGACACGTTAGGTGAATGGGATGGGTCAAAGTTTCTGCCTCAGGCTGTCTACAAACACCAGGTTTGCATGGAGAAGAGAGAGAAGTAAGCTGAATTTGTGGAAAATAACAAAGATGTTTGTTCAGAGTCACAGCCAGCTGAGCCTTTTCATCCTGGGTGTCTGCAGTGCCCAATTCCAAGAGTTATTCTCAAGTCAGTGGTTTGTTTAGTGAGCAACATGACTAAGGGATTTGGAAACTGGTTCTCAGCATTACAAGCTAAGCAAGACATACAAAGCCTGAGAGCATTTCAGAAATGGAGAAATAAAAAGTGAGTCCATACCAATAAAATTGTAAAGTTTTCCAAGACACTGTTCATCATGTATTTCTCTGGTAGATGCTTCAGCTTGTGTATGAAGTTGATCATGTATTCACACATGGGAGAGCGATTTATCCTGTACACGAAACGGCCGTTCTCAAACCTTGCATATTCAGTCTGCAACCAAACAAAGAGCAGGAGAAGAGGATCATTCAAAAAGAGCAAAAAAGTGAGCACTAAAGCTGCTCTTTTTCTTTCTTTGTGGAGTCAGAAAAAGTGCAAGTGGCTCTCAGACACACACCCCTCTACCGCTGACTCCTGCCTGAGCTGTGCAGTGCCTTGCTACAAATCCAAGGGCCTTAATTATTAAACCATTATAATATCACTACTTGTTCTCTAGCCTGAGAACTCACAAACTGAAGAGCTGGGGAATACAGAAAGGAAAGTCCAAGTTGAGTAAAAATTAATTAAGTGGAAAACTTTGCAGTCAGATGACTTTACAGGAGGTTTGAGGCTCTTGTCTGCAAAGGAGCAACGAAAATAAGCTTATATATATTTATGCTTAAGTATACATACACAAAAATATATTATTGCCCAATTTCATAGGCAGCTCGTGAGCTGCAGAAAGATGCAGAACTCCAGTTGGAAGGAAACCAGACTGACAGAGTGCAGGGGCTCACGAGGAGCAGGAGGAGAGTAAGGCTGTGACTCTTGGACTGCCCAGCAACCAACTGCTCAGATGAGCAACTCAGCAGCTTGTGGGGAATTTTTTTTTCTTTCTCCATGCTTGGAATAATGAAAATTATGAAAACTTTTTTATGGCCACCATGGTCAGAAAACATATTTAGTATAAGAAGGCCATGAACAGTGACAAGGACATCTATAATGGCTCAACCTGCAGCTCTAGGCTCTTGTCTGCCAGGTGCTGGAGGAGGTGGCACTGCAGTGCCACAGGCAAGGTGGAGTAAGGACTCCAAAGTGACAGGTGTTACTGGTAAGTGTCACCATCCCATGGGGGATTTAAAATGAACCCAAATGCTGCTGGGAAGGGAAATATTCAGCAGGCTTGGAAAAAAAACAGATAAGAGCAAGTGAAGACAAGAGAGAGAAAAGCCTAAGTAAAACGAAAGGGAACCAGAGCATCATCCCACGGGTCCCATCACAACACCCACCTCTACTTTTTCTACTACTTGCTTTCCAAACGAGCAGACTTTGGTGGAACAGGTGATTGTCATGTTTTCCGAGCTCTCGTACTGACTAGTGACTCCGTAAAATGCTCCTGTGTCATCCTGGATGTTGCAGTTTAAGTCAGCCTGTCGGGAGAAAGCGATAGATGGTGAAGACTTTATTTTTCATTTGACAATCTCAGCAGCAGAAGCTGTCACTGGCTCACCATTCTTTACAGAAATAAGGAAGAGAGGGGGGAGTTTTACGGTGGCAACAGTGACGGTGGAAACTCTGCCAGGGAAGTAGCTGCCTAATTGTTGCCGTAAAAACCTTAGGAAAGCAGCAATTTGTCAACATTTTAAACAGTAAAAAAGATGAGCCAGTATTTCTCTGGGCTACAGGTGATGATGCACTGGTCTGCCAGAGAGCTGATGAAGTCCTGGGAGCAAAGGAATGACCTGTGAGGAGCCTGGCTCCACTGCCAACCCTCTGCAGGGGCTCAAATTCAACCAAGCCAGCCCACTCCAAAGAGGCCACAGCTCACTTTCCCCTTTTCCTCTCTGAAAGCAATGCAATCCTCCTGGCCCAGGGACACAGCTGCTCAGCAAGGGATCGATCTCTGATAAGACTCTCAGGCCATATGGCCTTGATTCAGCAAAATCCTGCTCGACTCGGTGAGCCGCGTGACGCAACCTGCAGGCACCGCGTGAGCCGTGGGTGCAGATCCCACCAACCAAGACTGCTGCAAATATCTGCTGCCTCTCAGCACTTCTCTGCAGCCTCAGTAACTACCCAGCTGCCTTTGATATCTAGCAACAGAGACAGACTCACAGGATCAAGTGAGGAGCAGCGCTACCTTTAATTATTGACGTCCTAATCCAAGCCCTGTGCACAGCAGGATTAATTTGGCTACAAAGCAACCCCCCAGGTCACCTGCTGAATCTGCCCCCCCAGGCTTGCAGCAGCACTGAGGCTGTTCTGCCACTGTGCTCTTTGACATCATGAATCCATTTTCAAACGCCTTCAACTCAAAAGCACATTAATAGTGCTGCAGCAGAGTCCAGGGACGTGCACAGCTGGATTTGTTGATTCAGCCATTAGCTCTGCTGACATCCTCGTGCCCAAGGAGAGAGTGGGCAGGGTTTTCTTTTTATGTGCAAATAGCTGATCAGCTACTGCAGTGTGACAGCTAAGAATCGCCTGAATTTTGAAGTTACTCCAAGATGAGCATTTGAGCAGGGAAATGCATTTTTGCAGCTGTTTTGTTTGCAAGTCTAGCTCTGCTGGGTTTTTTACTGCTAATACAGAAAGGGAACACAAAATTTTTGACAGTGACCTCTGTGCCTAACTTGAAACTTTTAAAAAAAAACCCCAGTTTACAGATATGTTTTCTGTATGCCCCATCCCTGGAAGAGTTCCAGGCCAGGTTGGTTGGGGCTCTGAGCAGCCTGGTCCAGTGCAAGGTGTTTGTGCCCATGGCAGGGGCATCATCAACTAGATGATCTTTAAGGTTCCTTCTGACCTAAACCATTCTATGATTCTGGTGTGGAGCATTTATAGCCCTGCCTTCACTGTAGTTCAGGTCATTTGTACCTGCTGTTTAATTTTTAACTCAGCAACAACTTGTTAATTCTAACTTGGTCTCTGCAGTCCTTGTTTGTGGTGCAAAGTGCTGATAATGGCACATACTGAACTAGACTGTGGGATGGAGAGGACACAGGTGTAAGATTCCTGGGGACTGGTTTGTCAGTCAATCAGTGGAGCAGTCTCTGGAGGTTTGCACACAGTAAGGTGCACAGTTCTGTTTTGCATAACAGAAAGAAATCCCATTGCTGTTACACCTTGTTCCTTGCACCTGCTTTGCATGAGGTCAGCAGTTAGTGCCTGATGTGCATCTAAAGCAGTGTCCTCACAGAGAGCAGAGAGAAATTGTTCAGAGCTGATAGTAAATAAGCAATTTGCCATCACAGCTGGTTTGCAATCGAAACACGACAAACATCTAAACACGACAAACTAGCAGCCAAGGCCACAGCTGCTCCACAGGAATTCCTGCAGAACAGGGATTTCTGCCCAAACAACTGCACTGCTGCAATTAACAGGAGTAATCTCTTCAAATGTGTTTTTGCCTGTGCCTACCACAATTGCAGTTTTACTAGCAAAACATTTTCTCTTTTTTTTTTTTCAGATAAGAGCAAAATATTTGTTCAGCCGAGAGAAGAGAAGGTTGTGTGGAGACCTCAGAGCAACTTTTCAGTATCTGGCAGGCCTACAAGGAGCCAGAGAGGGACTCTGTGCTAGGAACTGCAGGGACAGGACAAAGGGTAATGGGTTCAGACTGAAGGAGGGAATGTTTAGGTTAGATATTAGAAAAAGGTTTTTTACTCTAAGGGTGGTGAGACACTGGCCCAGGTTGCCCAGGGAGGCTGTGGCTGCCCCAACCCTGGTGGTGTTCAATCCAGGCTGGATGAGCCTTGAGCAACCTGATCTAGTGAGGAGGTGTCCCTGCCCAGGGCAGGGGCTGGGGCTGGATGATCTCTTTAGGGGTTGGTCCATTCCAACCCCTAAAATTCTATGGTTTTACTTCAGAAACCATAATTAAACCAACCCTCACAACTTCATGTCATCAAGAGTTAATGGCACAGAAATCACATTTCAAGCTGCAATAACAACTGTTCATAGAGGCTAAAAAATAACTTTTTATCTGCTGCTGTCTGATTTTGGAGCCCACCGAGAAACCAACTATCTAACTGTTGTATTTACATCCTGACATTTAACCTGGAAAAGCAACACGTGGTGATCTGGCACTCTGCTCTCCACTCCCACAGCTCTTGCTGCAGTCACCAGACCAGGGACGCTTGAAATTACCACTCAATTGTCATAACTTACTCTTATGCAATTCCAACTCTGTTGCAAAAGTCCCCTGATGATCACATAGACCTGAATTACCTTGATTTGCTTATTTGATCTTTGATTTTTTTTTGAGTCTAGCACACAATAAAGGTGTTCTCAAAGAAGGACTCAATCTTCTTTGTAAACCACAGTTTTCATGTTCAACTAATTACAGATTGCTGAGAGCTGAAGCTTTAAGACTCTTCCAAAAAGTCTAACACCAACATAAAAAAAAAATTAAATCGTAAGAGTTGGCAAGCCAAAACTTTTAAATGAAGTCTTCACCAAAGCCTCTTTTTAGTACCAAAACAACTTTGCCTGTTCTCACATACTAAACCAAATCTTTCCCCTCAGTTTGGGTTCAAACTTTCTCACATGAACATTAGGGAGGAGTGTGTATCACTCTGAACCAGGTGTTGAAAGCTTTGTGCCATGCTAAATACTATTAGACAGGAAGGAAAGACTTATCACTGCTGGTAAAATACAAATCCTTGGTTCAAAAATGACAGTAAAGGACTTAATTCTATTATTATGCCTTAAAATGTAAGGGTTTGTCTAACCACACACAGCTGAAAGCAGAACTCCAACCGATGAAAGCAGGTCATGAGTAAAATTAATTTTGTAGGGTTTTTTTGTTTATTTTCTTCCCCACAAAATTCCAAGATGACCAAAAGAGAAAAGGTCACTGCTGTGGCTGTGAGAGCTGTAGGGGCAGCTGTGGGTGGGAATAAGGCAATGTGTTACCCAGGAATACCTTGGTATTCAGCTTTAGCTCCTTCCTACAGTATTGATTCTAGGGTTTGTGGCTAGATTTTAGAAAGGATGTTGGAAAATTGGAGAGTGTTCAGAAAAGAGTTACAAGAATGATTTCAGGTCTGGAAAACATCCTTTGTAGTGAATGACTAATGAAACTCCATCTACTTACTTTTTCCAAGGGAAGTTTTTCCACAACTTTGTCATAGCCTACAAGTTGCTACACGGGGAAGAATCTTCTGATTAAATCTTGCAGGAAAGGACATTAAAAGGCAGAAAGCTAAAGCTACACAAAAGCAAAATGAGACACAAGGCAGGGGTTGGTCACCCTGGTGGCAATGGAACACTGGCAGAATTTTCAGAAGTGGTGGAATCACCATTCCACGAGGCCTTTGTTAGCCAACTAAATACCTAACTGGGATGCTACAGTTTGGGGAGGTTTACTGTGCAGAGACAACATCACTTGGTGAGGTTCACTGCCTACATTACAGAACAGGAAAGACTAGATAAATATAAAAACAACAGAATTGAAATACAGGTATTTTTCTTACTAACCTTCTCCTTGTGATTTCCTTTTTCCCTGTAAAAAACATGACAAGTTCTGGAGACTGTGCTTGCTGCCCCTCGTGCTGCTGCAAACTTTGCTGCACTATTCCTTGGTGCTCTGTCTCTAGCTGCTCTCCAGACTCAAGCTGCAAATCCTCTTGGGCTGGAAAGCAACTTTCCCTCCTGCACAGCTCCTCCTGCAACTGTGCTCTGGCCCTGGGAACTGGGCTTGGTGAGCACTGCTGCAGCACATGCAGATAAATAACATTTTGAATGATGACTTCAAACAAATTCTGGCACAATTTCAAATGCTGTGGCATGTCAAACATTATGGTATGATCAGGTGTGATGTACAGGAGTCCATTTACTCACTGAGTTTTAAACTACAAGATCAATGCAGTTTAGGGAAAAACAAGCAAACAAAGACTCAAAACCACACATGGATCTTAAAAAAATATTTCAAGAGTAAACTCTAATTTTGCCTCCTTTCTGAGCACTGAATTTCCTATTAGCTGAATGCATTTGGAGGCAGGAGAGGCACTCAGCTCTCTGGCACCGTGTCTCCAGCGTTTGTGCAAGAGCATGATTAATTCATTAATAAAGCACAGCTTGCCAATGGGTAGTACTGGAAATATTACACATCAAGAGCACCAAGTGTTCGACACGCTGCCTGGAGAAGCCTCTGCCAGAGTGCTGGAGTGAGCATCTCCACAGAGCTGGTTGCAACCAAAATAAAGAGTAAAAATAAATAAAACCAGTATTTTCCCATTCCTTTCCCAAGAGCTCTCCGTGCTACAGGCAGGGGCAGAGGGTAGAGCACTTGTGTAATCATAACAGCTTTGGCTAAGAAAAAAAAGCAACTCCAGCAAAAATTGCTGAGAAGAGTTTAAATCCTTCCTGC